AGCCCCGTATCCTGATCCAGCGGCTGCCAAAAACAGAAGAAATTAAGCAGGGTGCTTGGTCATGGGGAAAGCGGCTGTGGTTCGCCTGACAAATGGGGGAAGGGAAAGGTTTCACTTCTTCACAATCTGAATGACATCCTCGTCCTCCAATGTATGGTCCTTACCCACTTTCTGAGGATTGTGTTTCACAGAGAGGCCCCAGACCAGAGCGCTGTATAGAAGGGGAAAAAAGAAGTCAGTGGATAGAATAGCCTACACCTTCTGACCTATTAGCTTGGGTGCTAACATTCTCAGTTTTTGCACCCCAGTTCTTAAAATAGCCAGGTCTGTCCCCAGGTCAAGGATCATAAGCTAAAAGCTTGATATTCCCCAGCAGTGTGATGCACTAAGCCTTCACAAAGAAGGGAGCAAAGCCTTTTACAGTGTGACCTCATCTACCTTACCAGATCTGGTCCCATGTGACTTTTGACTATTCACCAAAAGACCATGAAACAACCATGACTGTCTAAAGACACAAAACAGAACTTCCATAACAGCCTCACAAAGTGGCAAAAATGGTGAAATGAATGTGCTCAAAACAGAGGAGTATTTTTTTTTTTGTACCAGGAATCAAATTCAGGACTTTGCGCTTGCCAGGTAGGTGCTGTGCTGGTGAGCTTTATCCCCAGGAAGAGTATTTTGAAGGGAATTAATAGCAATGTGTCTTTTTTAAAAAAATATTTAGTACAGGGTCTACAGGGTCTCAAAGTGATTCTGTTTTCAGCCTCCCAAGTGCTGGGATTACAGGAGCGCACTGAAATGCCCAGTCTCAATTGCCATTTTAACACACCCTGGTGGGGGGACTGGCACTGCACATCGGGATCGAACCCCAGCTGCTGCACTCTGCCTAAGCAGGTGTTTTAGTCTACTAAGCTATCTGGTTGGCCCCCTAGCAATGTATCTTTTACTGTAATAAGTTTTATACACCATAATTTTATCATATTGTGTAAATAACTGAAGAATGATATACACCTAGATAAAGAACTAAAAGGAGTAGAAAAGGGATGTTATAATTAGTAGGCCTGTGAGTAAAATATTTCTGTGATTAACACAGCTTAAAATGTTACATGTGGGGGGCTGGTGAGATGGCTCAGTGGTCTAAAGCACCTACTTAGAACAAGCTTAGCAAAGCACAGGGACCGCGGTTCAATCCCCCAGCACCACATGCCAGCCAGCCCCGCCCCCTGGTGGGCTGAGCTGGCCACACACACACACACACATAAAAATTAAAAAATAAATCTTTAAAATGTTACATATGAAATAATTAAAAAATAGACTGTGGCCGAATACATTATGCCTCTTTTCTAAACTATTTTCCAAAAAAAAAAACCATAAGAACTATTTCCCCCCCACAAGCATTAATTGCCCAGTATATTTATAGTTGTAGGGCTCTGAACATTTTTACCACCATGAAAGGCAGGAATTACATAGACATCTAGATTCAATTTCCAAGAGTCAATGGTTTGAGTATAGCAGAAATGATCACCCACCCATATGTAGATATAATTGTGTTAGAATAACAGAATATGAAGTTAATAAAGGCACTCTCACAGTGTTCTTGAGATTTTTATTTTTAACTTTTGATGCTAGAGGTTGAACCCAGGACCACTACACCTAGCCTACAAAAAAGAATTTTTAAAATGTCTCTATTTCTATGCAGTTCTGATTTTCTGTAGTATTTGGGAGAGGCTTTTGTTGTTGTTGCTCTTAACCTTGAAGTTTTCAACCTTTGTAGAGGTTAAAAGAGCTATTTATTAATAGTATAAAATATGATTAAATTATTATTACTTTTTAAGTATTTACTACAGGGTCTTACTACACAGATCAGACTTGTAGTGATCCTCCTGTTTTCAGCCTCCCAAGCACTGGGACTACAGACACACACTACTACACCACTCAGTGCACCCCAGGGGTGGGGCCAGCACAGCACGCTGCAGATTGAACCCCTGTCCTTGTGTCTGCCTAAGCAAGGTGCTTTAATCTGATCTATCTGGCCAGCCTGATTAATAAATTATTTGAGGATTATAGGTAATTATGCAGCTAATAATACATATTTATTGCGCTATATCTGAGGCCTACTGATTCTGGCACTTTCCCCATAAGAAAATTACAGATAAGTTTCATATACATGGCATAATATTTGCAAATAACCTGTACACATATTCTTCATAACAACTATCTACATATAATTACATTAGATCATGTATAATACCTAATCTAATGTAAACTATATGTAAATAGCATTAGTGAAGAGAAGGCATTAGTGCAGGCAATTATCAAAATCAATCATGAAGGCCAAATAACTCAGCCAGGGGTTCAATCACCTTTTTCTCATGAAAAAAGGAAGTCTGTATATGTTCTGTACATACAAAATTATTTTCCCAAGTATTTTCAATCCACAGCTGCTTAAATCCAGACATAGAATCTATAGACAAGGAGGTTTGATTATTTATGAGAATTTTAAAAATAGTTTATAATGACAGCTGGTTCTCTCATTTGTGGGGGGAATAAGAAATGGAGAAAGACTAAAACACCATGATACTAAACTAAAGAGCATAAACTCAGTTTTTGAGAGAGACAAGGAATGGGGGAGGGGTAGTATCCTTATATATATTTCCTAGCCCTGCTGCTGAGAGGGCCTACAAGCAATGATAACAGGTGTACCTACCACCCAGATCGTGAAAACCAGGGGTCCTGGGAGAAGGCATTAGTGCAGGCAATAATCAAAATCAATCATGAGGGTCAGCCAAATAACTCAGCCAGGGGTTTGATAACCAGGCCTGCTATGCCAGCCCTGCTCCCCAAGGGCAGGCTGAGACAGCAGTTGAGCTGGGCGTGGTGGTGTACACCTATAATCCCAGCTCTTGGGAGGCTGTAAACAGGGAGATCACTAACGAGTCCAATCTAATAGTGAGATCCTGAACACCCTGTAGACCCTTCCCTAAAATATGGAAATAATAAATAAATATAAAAGGAAAATAAAGAATCAGAATTAGGCAAATGTAGCAATAAATGTTCTGGATAAGCCCAGATAGATGCCACAATCAGCACATAAAAGTTTCAGAAAAAGATTTACACTGGATATATAGCTTAGTGGTAGAGTGTTTGCCTAGCTTACATGGGGCCCTAGGTTCAATCACAAGTCCCACATAAAAATAAGGGAAAAAAAGAAAAACAAGGAGAGTATCAAACAAATCCAAAGTAAGAAACATTTGAAACAGTAACTACATTTCAAAAGTGGCAATCATCAAATACAATGAAAGTCCAAGAAAATATTACTGGGAAACTAGAACACTGGAAAACTAATGAGAAACTTATGTTTTTTGAGACAGGGTCTTACTATGTAGTTTAGGCTGGCCTTGAACTTCATGCACAAAAAGGACACTGGTAGGGGAAAAAAAAGTAGAATTCAAGTAAGGTCTATATTGATATTTTAATGATGTTAATCTTTTGTTCTCATAACTGCATTAAGGTAATGTGAGCTGTTAGCATTAGGAAACATGAAGGGTACTTACTATTAAGTCTAAAAGTTCAAAATAAAACAAAATCTTTTGCAGCCCACATCATCAATAAAAGTATGAGAAAGGGGGATCAGGATGTAGCTCAGCAGTAGAACACTTGCCTAGCATGCACAAAGCCCTGGGTTCAATCCCCAGCCCTGAAAAAAGAAAGTGATAAAAGTATGAGAAAGGGGCCAGGGAGATGGCTCGGTAGAATAAGCACTTGCCTGGCAAGAGCAAGGGCCTGAGTTCAATCCCCAGTTCTGCCAAAAAAAAAAGGAAAAAGAAAAAAAGGTATGAGAAAGAGAGTTGTGTCCATGATTAAAAGTTTGTATTTTGTTGTTGGTGGTGGGTTTTTCAAGCTAAAAACCTTACTCTTGCCAAGAGGTGCTGTACTGCTGAGCTAAATCCCTGGCCGTTTTTTGAGACATGGTCTTACTAGCCTTGAACTTCATGGCACTCCTCCTACCTCAGTCTCTCAAGTGCTGAGATTACAGGTGCAGGCAACCATGCCCAGCCTATGCTTAAAAGTTTAGAAAGGGACTAAGTGCCCAGTGGAGGCTGGTAAAATCCTGGAAGGAAGAAATAATATTTGACTCTGCTAAGGGAAAGATGCATTAATTAACCTGAAAAGGATTCTGAAGCTTATCTTGCGCAAACCAGATATAATTTTAAGAAAATGTGGAGTTCAAGCTAAGCAAGCACTTTAGAACCTGCTACTTGGTTTATTTAAAGCTATTCTAATAATTACTGTCAGTAAAATTAGTAGCTTACAAGGAAAAGAAAGCATAACAGGCTCATGATACTTACTATTTAAATTCTTTGATAAGATTTTTGTGAATCTTCATGCAGAAATCCTCCACTGTGGTCCTGGAGTAAGGCAGTACCACAGGAGATGTGTAATCTGGTAA